TGTGTATGTGTGTGTACGTGTGTGTGTGTGTATGTGTGTGTGTGTGTTCGTGCGTGCACGTGCGTCCTACGCTCGCTGATTCCAAGCTCAGGGTTCGTGGCAGGTGCAGTTTTTTTTTGCAGCGGGGCAAAGGGTGTCTCTGTCTCTGCTTCCTCCCTCTCTGTCAGAAGGGTAAAGAAAGTAAATACGAGTAAATAATAGTAAATACAGGTATGTATATATAAATATAAATATAAATATAAATATATATATATATATAGAGGCATGTATGTATGTATATATGTATAGTATAGTATAATATAGTATAGTATACTAAGCTATACTATACTATACTATAATAGAATAGAATACAATATAATATAATATAATAACATATAATATAATTTAATATAGTACGATTATGTGTTTACCTAGATTTTAGATGTGAAAGATGTTGTGTTTGGCAGTAGACAGAGCTGAGGCCAATGTGATGGTTATGCCGGGAACTCAGCAGCAAATAATGGCGGCGTCACGAGGGGCAGCTCTGAGATGACTCAGGCCGCCGATGCTGTCGAAAGAGCAGTTTTACGCGTGGCAGCAGTTGGGTCCCGAGCATACGCATTGCAGTCTTCCTGACCTGCTTTGCATCCGTCATGCTGCTTCGTGCTGTTGCCCGGGGCAGGTCGCTGATGATGGCAAAATCTGCAAAAGACCGGAATAGGGACAGACGCCGAAGGCGCCGGCGGTCGCCTGGAAGCTCAGAGTGACCCGACGCTGACACCTGCGTCCGAGCAGACTGCTGTGCGAACGCATGTGGGCAAAAAGCGAGAACACATCCTAATATTGCACAGCCCCAAGTCTGAAATGCAAGCCGTTCAGAGCTAGCTAAAAAAGTCTGCAACTGGAGCCTGAGCCTGCGCTGCGGCAGCGCTCGCAAGGAACTCTGCAGAATCTCTTTAGCAGACAGGAAAGAGCTACGATCGCCACCGAGCTGTCACTGTTCGCAAGGCTGCCTACCTTCACCACGCTTGCAGACTTTGAAACACGTCCTCATCGCTCGTTTCGTTGTTCTATATCTTTCTGCAGTTGTCAATACATGACTTCGCTTTTCGCTCCAACAGCTCTGACATGAAGTTCCCCACCTATTTTGTGGTGCAGTCAACACGAGGCTCCGTACATAGCAAGGCAGATTGGATCGAATGAATCCTTTGGGCTTCCAGCTTGCATGATAAGATGTACTGAACTGTCTTTCTTTACTTTTTGATTCCTGAAACATTCCTAATAACCACTTTCAGAACCCTGAACCCTAAAGGCCCCAAAGTCCTAAGCCTTGAAAGCCCTGTCCTGGACGGTAAATCTTGATCGGCTTGTCGGCTTGTCCTCGCAGGACGAGAGTGACGCGGGCAGCGAGACTGATGCCGAGGTAGAGGCCAGGCGCAGCAATATATCAAAGTCCCGGTTGCATTGAAGATGCAGGGCCGTGCATGAACGTAGCTGTGAAGAGCTACCACTGCATGTGCACACGTATATATGTATATGCATATTTACTTATTTATTTCTTGATTTTTTGTTTTGTTCAAGCACAGAGGCACATGCGCTATGCACACGATTGTCAAGATGTAGGAGGTGAAGCACCGAGTCTGCACGCCCTGGGAGCCTGGCAGACCCAACTCTTACTCTGCAACATGACACTGACTCTCCTGACTCGTCTTTCCGTGCAAGGACAATGACCAGCCTGGGAGCCGCAAGCGCTCGCCGGGGGATCCAGTGGCAACCGTTTACTACTACTACTACTACTGCTAC